GATATATGGCTTTTGCAAACTCTCATAAGCTGTTATTTCGCAAAAAGGGGGTCCCCGTTATATGCCCCCAAATAGCATAAGCCTTGCTACAGGGAGCCCCAAAATGGAAGCCCGACTTTTGGGAGAATCCCTCCCCTGCAAAACATGCAAACTGGACACTTCGAATCAAAGAAGGATTCTGTGGTCTTGCTCAACCACGTCTTCACCGACATGGATGAGGCCCCATGCGCTGTCCTACAAGCCTATTTACAAGGGCCATCTACAGTGCACCGCAAGCCTCCTGAATCCCCAAACTCTAAACCTAAACCGTTGAACCCTACCCCGGAAAGTCTTCGCAGGGCCTGGGCCCAACGCGGGCTTGGTTGGAGACGCTCAAAGACGGTGACTGGGCCCAGACTATTTGGGAGTTATAGTTTAGGCTAGGGTTTAAGGGTTCAGTGATTTAGGGTCTAGGGATTTAGGGATGGAGGATTTAGGGTTTAGGGTTTCGTCTTTAGGGCTGAGGGTTTATGATATGACTGAGACCAGATGATTGCAGGACCAGTTCCAATAGAGGGGTGTTTGGAGGTTCAGTTCATGGGAAGTTGCAACCCCTAAACCCTAAACCCTCTACAGTGAGAAACGTCTCCAACCCTAAGCCTTAAACCAGAAGCTTTAGCATTCTCTGATTTTGTCCACGAATCGCACGCGGGCAAACATAGACTTACTGGTGCATGGTGGGGCATAAGCGAATATATCTTGTAGGGATAAAGGGGGAATAAGGGAATACCATCCCCACATAATCCCCATAAGACATATTCGCTTATTCCCTACTAACCTCAGTACGAAAAACCCACGAAGCTCTACGCCAGGGGATGCCGAACAAGCGGGATGGCATTCATGCTGCTCCCGCCACGGCATTGCCATAGCGCGCCCGGTGAAGGAACAAAAGAAAGATGGAGTTTGTGGGTCTAAGACCCAGGGATCTGGATTCTGGGGCTGAAGTTGTATTATTCTTATCACTATGATTACGATTATTTACTATAACTATTTTTTACTATTGGTGAGTTGTGGGTTTATTCGGGCTGAAAGCAGGCAGGTGCTCAGTGCTCAGGTTCCAGGTATCACTTTGTTTAGGGTTTCGGGTTTAGGAAAGTGGGGGCGTTCTCCTGTTCAGTCGAATGTCCGGAGTTTTAGCTTTCATCTCGACAGCACAAGACAAGCTGAGAGCCCGCAAGGAATGGAGACCCTGATCGACAAGTAACAAGATACTGCAATATATTCTAATACTACAATATACTGCAATATATTAGGTGGACCCCCCGCCCTGTAATAGTGACTATTATGGATAATAAGGATTGTATTAGGGTCCTCTTATATTCCTATTATACCGCTATTGCAGGGTGGGGGGTCCTCCTAAGCAATATACTACAATATACTATAATCTACTACAAGATACTCGGATCCTCACTCTCTCATCCGTATAGAGTGGTACCTGTAAACAGATGAGGAGTTCACCTTGTAATTCGTCTGCCAGCTTGTCTCACATGAGTATGGACGTCTTGATCTTGCTTGGCATCTTGTGGGCCCAATTTCAGAACATTGTAGATCAACAATGAATGAGTGCTTGGGCTAGGCAAAGCCCAGAAGCCTCTCTGGTCTTCTTCCGCTACACAGGGATGCTTTTTCTGAAAGCATGGACTTGTTCGAAAGTATTCAATGAGGATTCAAGTGTCAAATGCTAGGTCTTTAAAGCTCTCAGTTTGAGACTTCGGCCTTTTTGCCAACAAGCTGAACCCGGCGCAAGAGCGGCCTGAAGATCACGTACTCTTGGATTAGCTAGCGACTTATTCTTCGGCTCTCTGCTGGTGCTTTCAAGAGTGCCCCTGGTTTAGGGCTTCGAGTTTTGTGCTTGGGTCACGATTTCAGTTTAGGTTCAGGGCGTAGGGCAAAGCATTGAGCAGTTGACTGCTGGCAACTGCCATACGGTATTCGGTCAACGCGGCAGGCCTTAGGCCCCCTAGTTTGGAGAGTCTCACGCTGCCCGGTCCGGCCCTGCGAAGGAGGAGCCAGGGTTTCGGACTGACTGTTTGCATAGGATCTTACAACCCCGCCCCCACACTTCACTTGACCCCTCCAAGCCTAAGCGCAGCTATGTTGGGAAATGCGCAGGGGTGGCAAGTTCGCCATCAACGTAAGGAGTTTTGCTGCAGGATTGACTGGCTCTGCAGCATCCGAGCGGTAGACATCCGTTTGCTTGGAGTCGAAAACCATGCATTTCTGTCGCGAAGTAGCCTTGGCTTTCAAGAAGCAATAGCAACAGTATGTATGCTACAAGTAACACCTCAGAACCCCCAGTCTTGACGCCCAACCCCAGAAATTCCAAACCATGCAACTCTTTGGCCCACGCGGCTGGCCACCGCGAATGCTCGCCATGCTGGTAGCCCAGATTTGTAAAACCGAAGCCTACCTCAGTCACAGTGCAAAATCCCTTCAAAAGTTGGCTTGTCACCACCGGGTGGTATGCCCACTTTATAACCCCAGTTGCAATCTTATTGTTCACTTGATTTACCGTGGATTCTCCGTTCTTGCGGGAAGACTCCCATATATCCCCTATCAAGACCCCAATATCTATCCAGATATATCCCTTACGCAACAGATGGATCAGAACCGCACGCGCAAGCAGAGGGAGAGTTCGGCTGTGCTGCGCTGTGATGATTCAGGTGGAACATGCCTTAGGACACAGTCGCCGCTGAGTGCTATTTGCATGTAATACTAACAGTTATAAGAGTAATAAGAGTGATAAGAGTATTAAGATTAATAAGAGGAATCAGAGTAAGAAGAGTACGGAGAGTAGGAAGAGCAATAAGGGTAATACGAATAACAACAGCATTCATTTCGCAAGCCGTGCCTGGCTGAAACCCACTCAGTAGCGAACCGTCACTTCACATTTCCCGGCGGCCGTACACCCAATGGCGCTGGTTTTGAGACGCGTGATTCGTCTCACTCTGCTTCTGCCCCAGGTAGTTCACAGCCTCATGCGACCGGAGACTGAAGCCCTGCTGCAGACAGGCCAAGGACGACAGGCACCACAGGAAGCACACAAGCCCTGCACATCATATGGTCCAGGTCTACATCTTGTGCAGATGCCGCTGCTACAGCGTCAGTTCCTGCTGTCGGTGCCTGAAGATTTTTCTCCGGGCAGTGTTCCTCTTGTGTTCGGCTTCCACGGCTATTCTGATTCGCCCTGGTACTCCAACAGAATGCTGGGCCTTTCAAAGAAGCTTAACAGATACTGGCTCCCTGAATAGGTACATGGTAGTTTCCCAAAGTAGGAGGACCGCAATTTTGACCCCAAAATGCTACAATCCTTTTCTCAAAAACCCCCAAGAAGGTCCCTCTGCTTTTGGGAAACCCGCCAGATTTCTCGATTTTCCTGAGAATATTTGGGACTCCGAAGCCTTGGAGCCTGACCTCAACCCCCACCCCAACAACCCTAACACCCCAAAACCACTAGAGCTGTAGTCTATATAAGGGAAGAGTATATATATATGTATATAGGGGAGTATTATAGGAGTTATTAAGGGGGATACTAGGAGTTGAGACTAGAGCTCCTTTTGGGTTTAGGGAAGTTCTAATCCAACGGGGAAAACAACTTACAAGCAGGTACCTTCCGATAAATAGCGTACTAGTGCTTCATCAAATGCCTACCTAGGACCCAAGAGTAGGGATACGGCCGGCTGGCTGGGCATGTTCTCCACTATTGGGGCAAAATCTCCCCAAACCCTACACACCACAAACCCCTAACCGCACTTGACCCTGCACAGTAAGGATACGGCTGGCTGGGCATTATGCCCTTCGCCTTAGATGAGCCTGAAAGCAATGGCCTGGGAGGCGTCGAAGCCTGCTGCCCTGAGGGCTGTGAAGGAGATGGGAAAAGGGCGCTTTTTTCCATGTGTATGCATGTATAGTCCCCCTTAAGTAGATAGAATTTGGGGTATATGGGGATCTTACTATGGTATACCCAAAGCCAAAATCTATCTACTTTAGGGGAGTTATATACATTAATCTATGTATCAATAATCTATCTATCTATATCTATCTATATCTACCTATATGCAATATGTATGTCTATCTTGGGAGGCTTACAGAGGGACATACCGGAATAGGATAGACTGTGAGAGGCATGTAATAGGGTCTGGGGGTACTTGAGAGCTACAAGAAAGGTTTAGGGGTTCAGGGTCATGTCTGATTGTTCTAGGATTTAGAGGTGTGCGATCTAGGGGGGGGCCTAGTTTAGGACAGCATCTTCCTAGAATTACTTTGAAAACACGTCTGTCCAGCGCCTTGAAATCTTAGAAAAAGTTGGGAGACTTGTTTGTCCACGTCTGTGCACTCCCTCAGATTGACATGAAACCCCAGAAACGGGTCCCAGAATGAAGACGACCGTCCGTGTAACAGGGGCCTATCCGGGGCTCCATGTTAGTTTCCTGGAGGGTAACCTTCACAGTTAAATCCTAAACCCTATGACCCTATGTATTACCCTAAACCCTTAATCTTGTATAACTTCATATCAAAGTTCAAAGTGTCCCTACCTGCGCTTTTGAAGAGCTGTGAAGGAGACTGCTGCAAAGAAGGCAGGCACCTGCGCAAGAAGGACGCTGGAACCTTTTTGCCCTTCTCTGGCTTCATTTTGGGCTGTATAATAAGGTGCACTTTACTCTAGAAGTGACTGATGTTTTTTTTTAGGTTTCTGCATTGTAGACTTTCCTTCTGCATGATAGAACGAATCTCCTCAGTACAAGAAGGTTTGTTCTTCCCCAAACAGGCATGGCAGTGGATTTGGCTCTCTTTTGCAAGCACAGTAGCCTCAGAAGGGCTCCTTCCGTCTGGTTTCTGGGTTACGTACCCGCTGGCCTCTATACTAAGCCTCGGGATCCTGAAGTAACCTTCAGGGTGAACCTAGGGAAGAGTATAGGAGAGGTGGTTAGGACAATCCGTACTTGTTGCGGCCTGAACAGGATAGCAGCGCTTGCGGATGGAGGGACATGGGCAGAGACTGGGTTGCTTTTAAGGAATTTTAAGTTAAGTTACCATAATGGGTGTATATATATATAGTAAAGAATAGGGTTTCCCCAATATAGTACCCTAAATCCTACACCCTAAACCCCAAAACCCTAAACGCTAAACCCTATACGATACCCCAAAACAGTAAGTTAAATCAAGTTCCTTAACAAGAGCCCAGGAGATGAAATTCTGGTTCGAGAGCTGCTGAAATGGGCGCAGTTGAACACTTGCGCGGACATGACCAAGGTTGGAATCTTACAAATGGAGGTTTCCTAAAATTATGGGTACCTTTTTTGGGATCCCCATAATAAGGAGTTTAGTATTTTGGGGTCTATATTGGGGTCCCCCTATTTAGGGAAACTACCGAATAGTATAGGGCATTGCAGAGGTAAGTAGATATGAGCTATAGTCTAAACTCCTTCAAGGGGGGTATGTGGGGGACTATATAGGGGACTACCATTCTGGCTATAAAGGGGGATACTAGGAGTTTAGATTATGGCTCATATAGTAGGGTTGAGGGGTTTAGGGTTTAGGGTGGAGGGATTAGGGATCAGGGTTTAGGGACTAGGGATAAGGTCAGAATCTTACAAATATTGTAGGAGATTGTAGAGGTTGTAGGGTTTAGGGTTAGGGACTAGGGATTAGGGTTCAGGGACTAGGGATTAGGGATTGAGGGGGGAGGGTTTGGGGTCCAAACTCCTAAAGGGGGGTTAAATAAGGGATTATATGGGGAGTATTATGGGGGTTATTAAGGGGGATACTTCGAGTTTAGACTATAGCTCAAATGGGTTTAGGGTTTAGGGCTAAGGTGACGATCCTTTTTGGGTTGCCATTATAACCTCGGTCCTAATACTGAGGGTGTCCCAAAAAGGATCATCATTTTGAAGCCCCCTATATCATTACCGAATACAATCACAGTTTCCATTTCATGTTCCATTTTATTTCCATTTGATTCTCCGTTATTGGAGTTCTATATCTTTATATGACCCTGTATAGCCCCAGCAAGCAAAAAAACTCCCACGGCGAGATCCTCTTTAAACGGTGTTGGGGGGGTAAGGGTGTGGGGTGTTTAGGTTCTTGAATTTCGGAAGCTACCAGGTCTTTGCCACTGGTTTCAGCAACGGAGGGCAGTTTACCAACTACCTGGCGTGCCATGCCCCTTGGGACGATGGCAACTGGCATATTTTGACTAGTTTCCTCCACCCTCTACTCTGACCCCCCCCTTATCCCCACGTTGAACTTTCAAGCCCTAACTCTACACCTAGACCCTCAACCCTAAACCCCAGACACTAAACCCTAAACCCTAGACCCCGAATCCATTAGCTGAAAATTAGTAGATCTTGTAGGAACAATAGTCGAAACTGAAGAGGAGAAATGCCATGAGATGAAGGACCCGCGCAAAGTGCCCTAAAAGCCATAGGACTCCTCCCAAAATGGATCTGCGTAAACCTAAGACAACATGTGAGTGCGTGTTGGCTGAGCACCCCAGAATGGCTACCTGAGTTTTGTGGAACACTCTCAGATCAGTTGCTTATGGCAGAAGACCACACCACGCTTTTCGACAAATGCTCGTATAGGGCACCAAAACCACCCAGCTCAACAATCCTGACATGAACCCTACAATATGTCTATAAACAAAACAAACCGCAACCCCTGAGCCCTAAGCCCTGAACCAGACTTCCTAAACCCTATAAGCCCTAAACCCTGGAACCCTACTCCCCGCCCCTCTTGGCCAAGCCAGCAACGAGGCCTCTGAGCTTTTTCTCGCCTTCGCGCCCATCTCGGGCGACAATCCTCTGGATTTCTGTGAGCCGAAACGATCCATCTCCTACGTCAGCACGCTGACAGCACAGGTCGTAATCCCCTTCAAGTAGATAGAATATGCAAGTGCCCATCTTGGGGTTTCCCAAAATTAGGGGTACCATTTTGGGGCCCCTCAAGGACTATAGTATTTTGGGGATCTATATTGGGATCCCCCAGTTTGGGAAACTGCCATATCACAAGAAGATCCTCAAAAGCACTACGTTCTATCGACTTACGGGAGGCTGTAGGGTGTAGGCTTTAGGCACACCATGGGTGGTGGATTGCCTTCCCTCAAACTTGCATGGGACCTGAGAAGGTGTCCCTATGAAGACTACGGTTCTTTTTGTGGGAAGATGCATAGGGTTCCATGTTAGTTGAAACCGAATAGGCAAATGAGATTTGTGGGAAGTTGCATAGGGTTCCATGTTCGTTGAAACCGAATAGGCAAATGAGATGTATTCGTGACAGAAGCGGGGTCTAAAGGTCCTTTTTGAGGATTTCAACGCTTCCGATCGGTGGTTTCCAAAATTGGGCTTACATGGGGATTTCCCGAAATTAGGTGTACTTTTTTGGGGGACCCGATAATAAGGACTATAGTACTTAGGGGTCTATATTGGGGACCCCTTCTTCAGGGAAGCGACCATATGTCATGGGATTATGATTAAAATGGTATGGGCTGGTTCTTGAACCCCATACCCTGAACCCTAAGCCCCGATTCCCAAGCCCTCAACCCTGGACCCTGTTAATTTGGGGGGGTCAGTAGCCCAAACCTAAAACCCGAAACCTAACAGTGAGGCCGGAGCGCACAGTTAGTTTGAGAGGGGGAAAATTGCTAGCGCGTGGATGGCGTCGACTGCCTGAGCCATAAATGGTAGTTTCCCAAAATAAGATATCCCAATGCAGAATTAAAAACATGAAAAATCCTTATTATGGGGACCTCAAAATGGTATCCCAATTTTCGGGAAGCCCTAAACCCTAATCCCTAAACCCTATATATCCCTATATACCAGTACATAACCCCTATATGCCCCCTTTCAAAGGATACTCCTCCTTTTCAGGAAGCTCACCTAAACCCTAAACCCTAAATCCCACTGCAAGGCATGTGCGGCACGGAAGACGACGAGGCTTTCTGCCAGCCAACCTTCATGAGCTCTGCGGAAAGCTGCTTGGTTGACTATGTTATATATATATATATAGGGCTTAGGGGATTATATAGGGTTTAGGGTTTAGGGGTTTGGGGTCTAACTCCTTAAAGCGGCTTATATAGGGGATTATATAGGGGAGTGTTATAGGGGTTATTAAGGGGGATACTCGGAGTTTAGGATAAAGCTCAGTTGATCTTAGGTGAGCCTTTGCAGCTTCCCCCAAAATGCATGAAAGTAAGGAGTGTGGCGCTTATCTTATCCGTGGCTTAGTCCAGAGGGGATGAGAGCAGGGTTGGCAACAATGGGTTACCAGTCATGAAGAGTCAAATGGACAAGAGAATGGAAAGGGGCAGGAGAATTGGGGTTATAGAGGGTCTTAAGACCATTTTGGACTAGGCGAGCGTGTTAGCAAGCACAGGTTTTCACAGAATTGGCTCTAAAGCGTCATGCCTAGGCCCGGAGGCCATGAGACTCCCACCCACTCGCTAGCATCCAAGTGCTTAGGTTCAGCTCAACATTTAGTAGTTTCCCAAAATATGGGGACCCTACTATAGACCCAAGAAATATTATAATCCTTACTATGGGGACCCCCGAAACTACAAGTTAGGGTTTAGGGTTAGGATTTAGGGTTCAGGGACGCAAAGCCCCAAACCCCAAAACCTGGCTACTGCCGTAATTGCCTTTTTTCTTCTGTCCATTCCCTAAACTGCGTAAACGCTACTTGCCTGATCATTTGACTAGTAAGCTACCCACTATCCCCTAACAACCCTTATAACAAGCCCCAGGACCCTGTCACTACGCAGATTTACTAAGTTAAGAGAGCCTGCAAGTAGCCCTACACACTAGGGTTTAGGGCTTGTGGACTTAGCCCTCAGCTTCAAACCCTTTACCCCTAAACCCTGAGCCCTGGAGCCTACACCAAGTAGGGGACAAGAAAGGCTGGAGCTTTCGAAGCAAGTGCCAGAATGCTGGCTTGCCTAGTGCGACTAAGTTCAACTTCTCAGCAACGACTTCCTGCCGCTGGGCCTGCATTGGGTTTAGGGTTTAGGGGTCTAGGGGTACAGGGTTTAGGGGTTTAGTGTTCAAGGTGTTTTCATGAGAAAAACCTGAGCCCAAAAATGATTTGACATGACCCTAAACCCTATATATCCCCATCACAGTAGTTTCCATTTTCTTTTCCATTATCCCTATATAACCCTTATATAAACCCCACTATACTATAATATACAAACATTGACATTGCAAGCATCAAGCGTCCCTCCCTGAACCCTCCCTACACCTTCAGCGCTGAACCTTACGCCATGCACTACCCAACACCAAGCAACTCTAAACCCCAAGCCCCACCAACTCCCCAACCCCTTAAACCCTAAACCCTACACCCCAAACCCTAAACCCTACCCCCAAACCCTAAACCTTAAACCTTGGGTACTCCCCCCAGTAACAGTCTATATTAGGGGTCCTATTAAGGGCTATACATAACCATAGTATAATTATTATCCAACTGTTACTGAGGGGGGGCAGTACCCAACTTAAACCCTGATTCCTAAACCCTACCGACCTTGGCTGAGGCTTCATGTGGGAGTCGTGCGAGGCTGGGAACTTCGTGGAGGTGTGAGCTTCTCAAAATGATTTGCCACACGGTTTAGGGTTTAGGGTTTAAGATTTAGGGTTAGGGTTTAGGGTTTAGGCGGTTGTATAGGGGAGAATTATAGCGGCTACTAAGGGGGCTACTAGGAGTTTGGACTATAGCTCAAATGATCTGGATGCATTGTAGAATCCTTTGGGTATATAGGGGAAAGGAAAAAGAATATGGAAGCTACTCTTCAGGGCTTACTATAGGGGCTTAGGGATCTACCAGTAGCTTCAATAACAGAGAATCAACTGGAGAAGCAGATGAACATGAAATGGAAGCTGGGTCTCTGTAGGGGCTTAGGCTTTAGGGTACCAAACTGTTTTCTAGCGTTCGTTTATGGATATTGTATAGAGCGCTTCAAGCTGACCTCAGCATAACATTGGTAATTATACATCCAGGGGTCTAATCCTTTAGCGGAACGTCCTGCAAATTGCCCCTCATAATACCTAAGAGATAAACTCAAAACATATGGGTGTTTCCATAAATAGGGACCGCAACGATAGACCTCAATCTGCTACAGCACATATTATATAAAGTAACTTCGCCAAAAGTGACCCCAAGTTTTCAAAGCCTAAGCCCTACATACCCCTGGACAACCCTGTACAACTTCGAATCCCTCGCCGCCCCTGGTGGGACCCGCGGTTTAGGGTTCAGGGTTTCGTGGGTTTCCTACTACCCACTCTATGCTAACTTTAAGTAGGCCTAATTACCAATAAGCAACCTTAACTTAGGGTGTAGTACAGAGAGTGGTAGTAGGGGAACCCATGAGGTTTAGGTTTTGGGTTTGTCTCTGCGACGAGAGTGGCCCTGGTTGAGAGACACCCCCAGGTGTGCTCCACGAGAGGCCTTGGTCATGAAGCTGGGAACAAAGTTTTGGGGCTAAGGGTTCGGGGCTTAGGATTTAGGATAGGCTCCAAAAGCCTTGCCTATAATACCTTTAAGGTTACCCCTGAACTTTTCTAAACTGAACTTGAATGAGCCCAACTGAGGGGGAACACAGGATGTGTAGTAACTAGAGACCACTGGTGAGGGGGGTGGTGGAACTCATGACTTTGCCAGTTCAGGATTTACTGGGTTGCTGCTGCGGAACTTAAACAAGTTGCAAAATGAGGAAACCCTATTACTTACTCGATATTCCTCTTCTGACAGCTTCATTTAAGTCCCTTAACCGCAATCCGGTTCAGGGTGTATGGTTTTTGGCTGTTGGCCTTACACTGGGTTTGGGGTGTGGGTTTTATGGTTGAGGGTTAGAGGTGTAGAGGCTTGGGCTTATAGCACTTCAACTGCATTAAACAGCACTGATCTTTTTGGAGTGGCTGTGGCGGTATATGATCCTGTGAGCTTTCAGTGTTGCTGTTTCTTCCATACTGTGGCCCAGCCCCGTAGAGTTTCTATGCTGACGGAAGAAATCTTGCACTACAGGGGATGCATGTGGAATTGGAAGCGCCCCCCCCCCCTCTAACCTTACTCAAAACCCTAAACCCTAAGACTTAAACTCTAACAGCCAAAACCCCTAGCGAAGCTACCGTAGATCCTTAGTCTCAGTGAGTGAGTGCTCCCCCGCTCCTAACAGTGCTGGCGGTTTGTACTGGATGAAGGAGGAGAAAGATGTAGGGAGTCTTCTCAAGAAGAATATCCGGAGTACTGCAAGGGTTAGTTCCGTCAAGCCCCTACTCGCCTGTAAGGTCCAAAGTATGGGCTCCTAATATGGATTCTTAGCTTTGGGTAACATGCCTACTATGTACCCCAGGTGTATTTCTATTGCCTCTACAATCTTCCTAGAAGGGTTCAGGGCCCAATCCTGAATCCCCAACCCCCAAACCCTAGAAACCCTATCCCTAAACCTCAAACTCTAAATCCTAGACCCTAGAAACCCTATCCCTAAACTCAAACCCTGAACCTTAGAAACCCTATCTCTAAGTCTCAAACTCCAAGCCCTACACTAAACCCTAAACCCCTAAACCCTAAACCCTAAACCCTAAACCCCAAACCCTAAACCCTAAACCCTAAACCCTAAACCCCGGTGAATAAATCTGGCGACTGAGGACGCCAGCGGGCACCTTAGGCCCGATGACACCAGCTACCTCCGCCCCTTGGGCTTACTGGTGCCGTTGGGTTGAAGGGTTTACGGTGTAGGATTTTGGGTGCAAGGTTTAGGGGTTTAGGGGTTTAGTGTTCAGGGTTCAGGATTTTGGGTTCAAGGTTTAGGGGTTTAGGGGTTGAGTGTTCAGGGTTTAGGATTTAGGGTTTGAGGTTTAGGCTTTTGATGTAGAGGCTTGAGTTTAGGGATTCAGGGTAAACGGTGTTTAGGGTTTAGTTAAGAGTTTGGCATAGCACATCACGGGTGGGCAGACAGACATGACTACTATTGGGCCGTTGGATGTTCAGTACCAGGAATGGGCCAGGAGTTGCTTTCCGCGGGGTCATGTAGACCCGTGATTTAGAAAAGCCCTCCCCTCGAGAGGGATTGTAATAAGGGCTACAGTATGAAGGGCCTTAAAGGAGGGGGCTTATTGATCACAGGTCTACATTACAAGCGTGAGTGGAACGAAGAGGATACCTTAAGCCTTAGGAGGACCCCCCTACCTTGTAATCGTGGTATACTCGGTGAGAGGACCCTTCTTTCCTCCTTGTTATCCCTTACAGCAACCATTACTTGGTAGGGGGTCCACCTAAAGGATATCCCTATCATACCGTTTCTGCTCTTCAGATGGAACCCCTAGAGTCTGAAACTTAAATCCTGAACCCATGTAGGGTCTAGGGTTGAGGGGCTTAGGGTTTAGGGGTTTAGGGTTTAAGGTTTGCATGGGTTTAGGGAACCCTCAGCCCTAGTGCAAAAAGAGATTGTATCGGGCAACCGCAAAACAAAGAGCTCTCAGACGTCGCTCAAAACATCAGTACACAAAACGTTAATTTCTATACACCCTAAGCCCCCGGACTCTCTACCCCGAACCCTGAACCCTAAGCCCTAAACTTCTGGAAGCTAAGCCTTAAACCCTCTAATCTAAACCCTAAATCCTAAAGGAACACGGTTGCAAGAGGTCGGACATGTAGACTCAGGCCCGCTCGGCCGAATCAGGCCTTTGTTCCTGAAGAGGTTCGAAAGGAGTGTTTCAAAGACAGAAAAAACCAAAAACCCTAACCCCCAACTCAAAACCCTAAACCTTCTAAAGGGCCTGGCAGTGATCTTGACATCGTGGGCTACATATTCCAGAAATTCTCCTTGCTGCTTGGCCATTCGTGACCATTGGGTTTACTGTTTGGGATGTATGGTTCTTAGGATATAGGGCTTGGTTTAGGGCCGTGCGAGATTTTGTTCTATTTCCCTTCGGATGCAGGATTTAGAGTTTGAAGTGGGAAGCCCTAAGCCCTGAATTTTAGGGTCTACTCAGAGAGCTCCCTACATTCATTGTAGCACGCGTCCTTACAGTCGGGGTCCTGTTACAGTACAGGTCCATTCTTATAGCAATTTCTTTTGTGCGAAAAGTTTTGGATTTGGATAGAGACAAGTTAGGAGGACCCCCCACCCTGTAATAGTGGTATAATAGGACTACAAGAGGACCCTAATATACTCCTTATTATCCATAATAGTCACTATTACTGGGTGGGGGGTCCACCTAACCTATACCCTAAACCCTATACCCTATACCCTAAACCCTAAACCCTAAGGTCAGGGCCCCTTGGGTTTTGGGGCATGCGCTAGTGTCTTTTGAAGTCTTTTGACTTCGTGAGGAGCAAAGAGCAAGGCTGCAACCTTAGAACGCTTGTACGCTTGCTACGGTTTTAGGGTTTAGGATTTAGGGTTTAGGGTTTAGGTTTTTACCACAAACCATCCTCCTTGGATGATCTTTTGACAGTAAAGTCTACCTACTATCCCCATATGTAAGCCTCAGCACTCATTATAAGCCCAATAGACCCTGTTACTAAGCAGACTTGCTACTTCAAGATAGCCTTTCATGTAGACCGTTCATCCTTCAAATCGCTTACCCCTCCAGAACGTCAAGCCCCAAAGCTAGAATAGGCTCAGGCTTTAGGGTTTGGTCAAGGCCTCCAAGAGATTGTTGAGGTTCCTATCCAAGGGAGATTAGGGTCTGACAGCCCTACACCCCTAAACCCTAAACCCTGAACCCTAAAACCTAAACCCTGAACCCAAAACCCAAACCCTAAACCCTGAAACCCTACACCCTAAACCCTAAGGGTCCCTCTTCACAGCAGAGGCTGGTGGACGGCAGTATCCTTTTCATGGGCCATCCTACGCGCGAAGAATTGGCCTATAAGGAGCAGCGTCAAGTGTTGAGAGTTCTTGGGGCTAGGAGGGTTGGGGTATTACCCCAATAATGGAGAATCAAATGGAAACGAAAATGGAAAATGAAATGGAAGCTGGGATTATATAGGGGTTATATTGGTCTTTGATGTTTTGGAGTTTAGAGGTCAAGGTTTTAAGGGTTGTAGAGTGCCTTGAGGGTTTCAGAGTTCAGGGTTTCACGCTGTCAGGGTTTAACTCGCAGCCTGAACCAATGTAAGCCCTAAACCTGCAACGGAGTCAAACCCTCCATGCTAGAAACTTCAACAACGCCGAGCCCTCAACCCGTCAAAAGTCGAAGAGCCCAACTTCAATGCGTACTTTTCATGCTGCAACCCCTCCCCGCAACCTCAAGCCCTAAATTCCAGACTCTAAACTTAGCTTCGGTCAGCTGGGAATGAAGGAGTAGAAAAGAAAATGGAAACGGCTATACTGGGTGATATAGGGGCTACTACGGTCCATGCCTTCATTCCTAGCTAACAAGAGGCAAGTAAACCAAACTCCAAACCGCAACCCCAAAAAGCCGATGCTCCCCCCCATGCAGTAGCCCCCTTCTTGGAAGGACGCTGTAAACCCTAAACCTTAGGAGGAGGGTGATCATCTTTGGAGCCCTACAGTAAACCTAACACTTGACCTGGCTCAGGATTTAGGATTGAAGGTTCATGGGACCTAACTACTTTTTCAGAAGGGGAGGGGTTATAGGCATACATAGGGATGCATAGGGTGTAGGGTTTGGGCTTCATGGGATTTAGTGACTACCTGTAGCTGCGATTACAACCCTACAACAAATGGGGCAACCTATGTAAGTACGCTTAGGGATTCCAACCAGGGTTTCAAGCCCAGTAAGAAAGAGTTACTTAGTCCTGTGAGCCTCCACCTAACCTCAAGACCCAGACTATCTTTTACGAAGCCCCAAGCCTCAAGCCCTAAAAGGAGTCGGCCTGGCCTCCGCCAGAACACCATGACCACATCTACATCCGCAACGGATCCCTAAACACAGCGTAGAGAGTCTAGGGTTTAGGGATGATGTTTCAACTTTGTAAGTCTACCTACTATCCCTATTAACCTTTACCCAAAACCCTAAACACGTCAAGGACTTGATGGGATTCGTGTAGGGGTGGTAGCAACTTAATTAGGGATTCAATGGGGTCATAATGGCATGTCTGGGGGTTCGCGAACCCAGGCGGTTCAAGGCATAGATCAATACTGCCTACATTGGGCTATTTGGAGCCTTAGCGTACAGATTGGATATGTCCTTAACCTCCAGGCCTAAACCCCAAACCCTAGACCCTAAACCCCACACCCAGAACCCTAAACCCCTAAACCCTAAACCCTCTGCCCTAAACCTTACACCCAAAACCCAAAACTAAACCCTGAACCCTAAGCCCTAAACCCCAATCCTTAAACCCTAAACCCTAAACCCTAATCCCCAATCCCTAAACCCCCTCAACCCCAAACCCTAGATGGCATATGGCTCATGCTGCCCGCCATCCTCAGAAGCTGCAATGTTCGACTTGCAGCCATACAGCTGCTAAGGGCCTGGAGGACGAGAAAAGTGCAAGACCAAACCTTGGTTTAGGGTTTATGTGAGCTCTAGTCTAAACTCCATAAAGGGGTTATATAGCGGACTATATAGGGTTTAGGGTTTAGGGTCTAAACTCCTTAAAGGGGGCTATGTAGGGGATTACATAGGGGTTCTTAAAGGGGATGCTAGGAGTTTGGACTATAGGCTCCTATGGGGATTATATAGTTTGGGGTTTGGTTTTGCGGGGATCATATAGGGATTTAAGACTGTGAGAATCGAGAATTAAATGCACAAGAAAAAGGAAAATGAGATGAACACCGGGGTGACATGGCGGTTTATAGCATTTAAGGGTCTTTCAAAACATTGAGTTCCTCCTCTTCATGGAAACTACCAAACTTCAATTGTTTCACTACACTATGGATGAAGAGTACAGGTTTCCGCGGCAATTGCAGCCCTGAACCCTAGAGCCTAAACCCTAAGACCTAAACCTTTCAAAACTCTATAGTAATGATTTGAGCACCCACAGTAAGATACCTACGATCGTAATCATCTTCCTGTGGCTTAGTCTTAGTAGGGAACAAGGGAATAAGGGAACAGGCTTAGCAGGGAATAAGGGAAAATGATCCCTACATATGTAGGGTTTGGGATTTAGGGTTTAGGGTATCATCCCTACATAATATATAAGGTTTTTTCAGGGATTAGGTTTAGGCGGGAAAGGGAATATAATCGCTAAATAAACCCTGTATAGTCTATTTCCTTGTCCTCTACTTACCCCCAGTAAGTCACGGGCAATTTGGACAACCTAGTGGATGAGATCTTCCCTACACAAACGGGTTTAGAGGGGTTTAGTGTTTAGGGTTTACGGGCTTAGGGTTTAGGTTTAGGGTTTGAAACCCCTAAACAGTATCCCCTTAGGAGTTATTTTGTTCAAAGAACTGTTCTCGTAGTATAACGCCCGGGGATAAGTAAACACATTTTTCTTATAGGGCTAGTGGGGTTACAATAAACCCTAAGCCTGGATCTCCAAATGCAAAACCTACACCCAATTTCGAAGTTATATTCCAGGTTTCTGGCGTCATTTAGCCTCTAGGCCCTTCTTTTGACTTGCAGATTTTTAAAGGTGTTCTCCACAGCCTGCCCAATCGGAGCCCTAAACCCTAGACCATGTAGAGGCAGTTGATTTTGCGAAGACAGGGTGGGTCCAGGGTTTTGGGCTTTTGGGATTAGGAAAAGCAGTGTTGACTATGACGTCCAATGGAGGTGTCTTAATTTCAAACCGGCAGGAACAGGACAGGGCGTATACTTCAGGTCACCTATTTGCGAGCAGTTGAATGAACGGAGGAAAGAGGCTTCCTGATGTGAAATAAGGTTGATCATGTCTCGTTTCTTGCAGCCACCAAGCAAACCCGAATACTTTGTTCAGCACCCATCGATTAATCTGTTGCGTTGTCCACCATACGCGTGACTATCGCAACTGGAATACGTGCGCCGCTAACTATGCTGATGGTTTTGCAGGGCCCCAGACCCTGTCTTCTCCAACATGTTATACATTCCTTTCAGTCCGTGAGCAGAAGCCTTTGCTAGTTTTGAAATGCACATGAGTCTTCCAGCAACACCGCTGCACAAATGAGCTATTGCCTAATTCCTAGTCTTCCCTTCATGACCCCTATGATACTCGCCTATGTGCTCCCCCATGTACAGTAACACCCTTTAAGGAGTTTAGAATATAGCACAAATGGATCAGTTGGGATTCATGAACAACAAGACCGAGGAAAATGGATGTGCAGCTGCGCGCTCATGCAGGCGCAGCGTGAGTGAGGATTCAAGGTAATTAGTTTACACTAATACCCCCTAGGCATCCCCTGCATAGCCCCATGTAATCCTTGCCTACATGTATATGCATGTTGTATATACATATATATATATATATGGTAGTTTCCCAAAATAGGGCTACCTTCACATAGACCCCGAAATACTGAAGTCCTTATTCTTGAGACCCCCCAAAATGGTGCCTCTAATTTCGGAAACCCCCAACATATGTATATGTATACCCTTATATGACCTGTTTATATTACCCGAAAGATCCCTAAAGAACCCATACACCCCAGTTGAAGTTCAGGGTCCGTCGACCTGGGCCTTTGGTTGGGATATCACCAAAGTAGGGGTAGTTCAAGGCGTAGGGTTTAGGGTACCGCAAGAATGGAGAATCAAATGGAACATGAAATGGAAACTGGGGGGTATATAGAGGCTTTATGGGAGATAGCTCCTACTCCCGAAGCCCCAAAAGAATTCAGAAAGGACACCTACACAAAGTTGTTCGTCCTGGGGTTCGCCCTGTGTAATCCCTTAAGGAGCCTATGATAGTAGACAATCTGCCACCCAGATCCCAAGAAAGCCCAAGAAATTTGTCATTCAATGCACCTAAACCCTAATCCCTAAACCTCATGTCACATCTAAGCCATAGTGATGATTCTAGTTCGTGAGGAGGGTTTAGGGAGGAGGGTTTAGGGATTAGGGTTTAGGGTTTAGGGTTCTTCTGCCACAACCAAAACAGGGTCCATCGAAGGAGCTGCAATGCTGTCGCGCTGGTTCAAACATGAAAGCTGCTAGCTTCTCGGTATAAGCCCCAGAGATAACCCTTATACACCCTATATAACCCCCATTAACCCTGTATAACCCCTAGATAACCCTGTATAACCCTTATATAACCCCTAGATAACCCTATATAACGCCCAGATAACCCCTATAGAATCCTTCAGTAGGACTCATCCCTTGCCCTTGACGAGTAGGGCTCAAAGTTTAAGGGCAAGGGAAGGTGGTTGAGGTTGAGTAATATTTATTTAAGAGCTATAGTCTAAGCTCCTAGCACCCCCTTCATATCCCCTGTAATGCTCCCCTATATGGCACCTTATATATCCCCCTTTAAGGAGTTTAGACCATAGCTCATATTGGGTTTTGGTAATGGACAGGCAGGGATGGGTCACGACGCCCGGTCCTGAGGCGAAGCTGGAAAGGAACCCAGCGGATAGTCCCAATCATTTGGGGTTTAGGGGTTTACGGTTTATGGGTTTAGGGTGTAGGGTTTTGATTCATTAAATTCTCCAAAATGCATCCAGACTAAGAGCTCCAGCCAAATCTATACACCGCAAGAATAGCCTCCCAGAAGGTATACAATTACGCCTAATTCTTGGGAGCCCTAACCATGAAATATTCCCAGTTGCCAATTCATTCTCCATTTCCCTTTTCCATTTGGTTTTCCATGATTGGGGCTATCTGTCCTTATATAGCCCCTATATAATCCCTCCTTTCTGAGGCCCCCGACAGTTCTTGGGCGTGAGCCTGGCAGCTGGTAGCCATACCTTCGAAGCAAAATCAATGCTAGCTCAGTCTGCGGCGGCTTAGGGTCTAGGGCTTAAGGTTGGTCCTTGGTCCTACGGTGCATACTAAAAATCCTGCATGACCCTAAGTACATTATATATTGGGAATAATGGAACTATTGTATATTAAGGTCATGGGTTTAGGGTTTGGGGTTTAGGGCCCTGAACCTCTGTGATGTAATGCCCCCAACAGGATCACCCGACATCAAAGCATCTGGCAAAGCATGGTTGGCGCGAATGCCCTCGTGCGGTTGAATTGCAGGATTTGAGGGTGTCCCAGAATTAGGTGTGAATATCGATGAGGCTGGGGTCTATATTGGGGTCCGCCTATTTATAGGAAATCACCGTTTCATAGAATGCTTACATGAACCACCTGTATAATGTTCACGCATTTGACTCTCCCTTCTTGTGCAAGCAACCCTTTTTCAATGCGAATATGTGGCAGTTCCCAAAACTGGGGTCCCCTTTCGGTATCCCTAAATACTAGGTGCCCTAATATAGTCCCAAACCAAAAGGGCCCATAATTTAAGAATAACGCATATACTACTTAAAAAGATCAATATCTATATGCTAGGGGAGCACCAGGCCTCTTCGGTTGGGGAGGTGGAATGTGGCAGGGATTCTAGGCCATCCTGCCATAGGGCCAGGCCTGCAAATGGCCAAAAACTCTTGATGCCTACCCAGCAGCACCTATTGATGATTTCAGTATCGCATCTGTTCTATCACAGAAATTTGATTTCAGAAATAGCCAGTTGCTACATTGGGAGGTTCCTTCCTCTGTTAACTCTGGCAGCTTCCGGCATGTGGCTTTTCACGTCAAGCTTTCTCATGAACTAGAACGCTAAGTCACGAGGCCCAGCTTGAAAGCCTAAATCCTTCACCCATATATATACATATATATGTAGATCTATATCCGTACACATCCCAATATATCCATGTATACCCCTATTGGCCAGGAATGAAGGAATGGGATCCTTAGAGTAGTCCCTATAAAATCCCCCAGAAGAGGGTAGTTCCATTCTCTTTTCCATTCCTTCTGGACCTTAAACCCCTAACCTACATGCAGTAACCCAGTATGGTAGT